GAATTTTCCCTATTTTCAGCAACTTGTTAATGCACCAGCATGGCAGTTTATGACAATCCCTATAAACAATGGAGCTGAAAAGCTATTGTTAAGAGGGGACTGCGAGGGCCAGGTTAGTGTTATTTGCTTGTTATTTATGATGTTAGATTTAATTTTTTAATTTTTGGTCAAGTCAAACCTGGATGAGACATCCATCTCCCTAACCTGAAAGGAATGATCTCCATGGAAGGCATTGGAAGTTTATGATGTAGTTGTTGATGGATGATAGTTATGATTTGTGGAAAGAATAGGAAAGTCTAGTGTGAAAGTGTGTGAATTTTTTATAATGAATAATGTGCAAAATATGTCACAGATTTTGTTGGATCTCTTAACAGCACATAAGTCTCTTCTGTGCACTGTATGAGTGCAGTGCCGGTTTTAAAACTTGAGAACTCATATAAAAGATGTTTGCTCAATAGGTGATACTTTGGAGGCTGGCAGATGTGTCAGACCACCAGTTGAACCAGATCCTGCAGGTGCAACCCTTCCAACCTCTGGTTTTCACACCTACACTCAACCACTCCATGATGACTGCCTGGGCTGCAATGATGCCTCCACCAATAGGTAAGTAAACTGATGATGTAGCTTTGCTTTGAAAGTTTCTTAAGTTTTTTTGTAAATGTATTTGAAAAAAAAAAGGATATCATATTGGGGATTTTTTGTCATAAAATTATAATGATAATTATTTGTATACCTTTTAATCTGATAGATTTTTATTGGTTGCCCAGTATGTGATATTAAACTTTCCATTTACAACAGGTGTTTTGGATCAGTTGGAAGGCGAGAAAAACCCGCCGAGAATCACAGCCAGCTTGTTTCTTCCACTACAAGGACGCCTTGCATGTGGTCGTGAAGATGGTTCCATTATCCTAGTTCCTGCTACAGAGACCATCATGTTACACCTCCTACATGGGAAACACCAGCACTATCACAGTGTGTATCTTTAGATGTTATTCTTCTTAAGAGACAGAGCCCTTTTTACATTCATATGAAAACATATATTTAGACTGGTGTTTGTCAGACTTTGTATGTTAGACATTAGTGAAAGTCATGATTAAGTGAAGATATGAGTGTCCAAAGGTGTTTTTAGACCAGTTACTTGAAAATGTTTATAGGAAATGTTTTGTTAGGTTAGACTTTCATTCATACAGCATAAACATGTATATGTTCATATTCATGCACTAAAATTTCATAAGCTTAGTGCATTAATGTTGACATTTTCATGTTTATGTTATAGATGGAAAAGTTTAAACTGACAAAATGTTTCATAAATTCATTTTCAGCCAATTACTTTTAAAACGTCTTCGGACATACATGCCCTCAAATAATCCTGGCTTTAAAAAATCCAAGGTCACGTATTAGCTGAAAATGTTCCCCTTTTCATTACATATTCCTAGTTATAAAAGTATTCATTGTTAGGCACACAGGCTACATGAAGCTACCAGTAGCTTAATAAGCAGCTCTCTGTCTCATTAAATACTAAAATCTAATCTTACAGATCTTTATACTAATCACAAATTTCAACCAGTTCCTTTGATTTGCAAGATGTTATTTGCATGAGATGCAGTTCTTATAATGTATGTAGTCTACCAAAATGGTTCTCTTAGGATAAATATTGTGAATTACCCATGATTAAGATAATGGTTGTTCAAATCAGCAACACAACAAACAATGCTGTAACTTCTAGGAAGATTCTAGTGCAGTTGATAACTAAAATAGAACTGTCAGATTAGCAATAAATTAATAACATTTGAACACTCCAATATATAGGTGTATGGTACATGACTAGAAATATGCATATTACAGATTAAAAGTGTATATTTCAATTAGGTCTTACTGAGAGACTCATGTAGGCTGCTCTGTTCTTCTCTTCTGTGACCTTTAATGCTGTGTGACAAATGTGCTCTTGCATACACTTATGTGGAACGACAGGTAATTTTGTGAAGAGACAGTCTGCAGATAGTAAACAGCAGATGAAGAGTTTACAAAAGCCAAGAATAAGCCTCAGGGTGAAGTGTGTTCCATAAAGTCTTGAGGATCAGATACATGAATTTCTCAGTACTGAGAAATTCATTAGGAGCTGATATCCAAATAGAGACGTATAAGTGAAATGTAATGTAATGCATTCTTAGCTTTTATAAAACTGCAGAATTGAACTGCATTTTACCTAACATATGTTTTTTCAGTATATTAAGTGTCTATTTAATATGGAAGTAATGCAGTTGGATGGGATAAATGAATCAAGAGAGCAATGACCTTATATTTCATCATTTATAATGTAGGTGTTTCTCTTTACCAAGTGATGAACTGTACTAAGAACATTGTTGTCATTATCTCACAGATTGGGCTCAGCCTATGGTTCTTCGTGGCCACCAAGGGCGAGTCAACTGCCTTCTATATCCTCATGGAGAAAGCTCACGTTATGACATGGCACATCTTGTTTCGGGAGGAATAGACTTTT